ATGAATTCTGGTACATAGGGGTTCACGATATGGTAACTGGTATCTTTATCATTAAGGGCATGCCCTGGCCTGGTGACCCCCCCCCCCAACGGGTGCTGGGCACCTCCCTTGTCAATTCTTTAGTCAATTAAGAATACTACGGTGGAGGGGAGCGTGGCTGGAGCAATAGCATAGCAGCAGGTAGGGCGTTTGCCTTGCATGCGACCGACCCGGGTTTGATTCCCAGCATCCCATATGGTCTCCCAAGCACTGCCGGTAGTAATTCCTGAGTGCACGAGCCAGGAGTAACCCCTGTGCATCACCGGGTGTGACCCAAAAAGAAAAAAAAAGAAAAAAATACTATTGGGAGGAAGAATATTTAGTAATATTCTTACTCAAAACCCGAATTGTCACTTGCAGCAAGAGGGGATAGAACTTCCATTTGGGGTTTTACTTCCACCCCCACTGGTGTGTGAGCCAGGATGAGACGCACTGTGGGGGTGGTCGGTCAGCAGAAGCCCTCGCCAGTTGTTGACTCAGGCCTCCCGACAGTCCTTCCAGGTAGGCACTCTTGTCATCTCCCTTTTAATCTTTTTTTCTTTTTGGGTCACACCTGACGATGCTCAGGGGTTACTCCTGGCTCATGCACTCAGGAATTACTCCTGGCGGTGCCCCGGGACCCCTTTGGGAGGCTGGAAATCAAACCTGGGTCGGCCGCGCACAAGGCAAGTGCCCTACCCACTGTGCTATTGCTCCAGCCCTATCACCTCCCTTTTAATGAGGCTGAGGTGCAGAGAAGCCAACTAACTTGTTGGAGGACACACACCTTGCCCACAGTGAACATGCTAGGATTTGGCCCCACGTCCTTCACCATTGTACCCTCAGGGGCTGAGGTCGAGAGGGGCTGGGGAAGGCAGAGAAGGGTTCGGGCAGCCACACATCTGCCACCTGTTGCACAGGAAGATTTCTGGGAAGCCAGCATGGGCTGCCTCCCACGGACCCGGGTCGCAGTGTCGGAGCCAGGCTGGGTCACGGGATTCTTCTCCGGGTTCCCAGGCAGCCCACCCACACCCCTCTCCGCACGCAGCCTCCTGCGTCCCACAAAAGCAGCTCACATCCCACAACTGTTTAGTCGGCTAGCATCCTGGCTCGGGTTCCCTCCCTGGGAAATCCAACGTGGGGGGCGCTGGCGCTGGAATGTGTGTGGCGGGCACCCAGTGTCCCGGACAGGCTGCGGCTGGGAAGCCAACAGGGGGCCGGGGGCACCCGGAATCCTCAGCCCCCAGTCGGGCCCGGAGAATGGAATGTGCTGCTCGGGGTGGAAACAGACCCAGCCAAGGGAGGATGGGGGTGCTGGGGGCTCGGGGGGGGGGGGGGGTGCGCTGCCACAAGGCAGCCTCTGTTCCCCCTGGGGGCTGAGTCCACTTCATGTGGGCTGGGGGTTGGGCAGGCACCTCCTGTTGACTCAGAAGCTCCTGGAGCTCGTGGTGGGGGCTGGGGAGGGTGCTGGCTAGGACCCCGCGCCCCTTCTCCCAGCTTCTCTGAGGGGGATCTGTCAACATCTGCGCAGGATTCAGCAGCTCCCTGCACGGCTCCCTGCACGGTCCCGTCCCGGCCCCCGGGCTCAGTGGACTCGACATTAGGTGGCATAGATCAGAAAAACGGGTCTAGGAGATAACAGGAGGCTTGAGTGAGACAAGTGTGGGTGAAAGGGAGGAGCACAGGTGCAGGCCCCGGCTCCACACGGCTTCCCCTGTACTGCCGGGGAGTGACCCTGTCACAGAGCCCGGGAAGCCCCTGACCCCTCGGGCCCCACTGGCCAGTCTCACTGGGAGTGGCCCCCAGACTCCGGAGCACTTCTGGGGAGGCCCCCTCCCAAAGGAAAAGAAAATAAACACAGAAGAGCAGGAGTGATAGGACAGCGAGGAATGTGCTTGCCTTGCACACGGCCCACCTGGGTTCCATCCCCGGCATCCCGTCTGGTCCCCCAAGCACCGCCAGCTGAGTGCAGAGCCAGGAGTAACCTGACATTGCCAGGTGTGGCTCCCAAAATAAAAATAAATAAATCAAACGCTGTCAAACACTGTCCTCCCGTTGTTCATCGATTTTGCTCGAGCGGGCCCGGTAACGTTTCCATTGTGAGACTTGTTGTTACTGTGTTTGGCATATCGAATATGTCATGGGGAGCTTGCCAGGCTTTGCCGTGCGGGCGAGATACTCTTGGTAGCTTTGCCGGGCTCTCCGAGAGGGGTGGAGGAATCGAACCCGGCTTGGCAGGGCTGGCTGCACACAAGGCAAACGCCCTACCGCTGTGCTATCGCTCCTCCAAAACTAAATAAATAAGAAGCTAATAATATGCTCAGCAGGCTACCAGACATGGGGCCTAACAAACAGACTCGCTATCAGGGATGCCAGCTGCAGGGCACACGTGGGCACCGGGGCTCAGAGGAACCGTCAGAGAGACCAGGGCTGATGCTCTGAGGGACGGGTGAGCAGGACAACAGCTCCCAAGACCCCAGCAACCCGGCCAGCCCAGGGCCAGCTGGGAATCCCTAGAGATGCTCCCGTCACATCACGTGGATTGGATGTTCAGGGGACTGGAGTGAGCACCTGGCACGGATGCTCCGGCTTCCCTTCCCGGCACTGCGTGGTCCCCTGGGCACCATCTGAGCCACCCCAATGGCCCCCAGCAGTACTCAGCCCCAGCAGCACTGAGTTGTTTCCCAGGGAGTGGCCCCCTGAGCACTGCCTGGAGACTGTGTCCCCCCCCCCAACACACACACACACAAATGATGGACAAACACATGGCAGAAAAGATCACCCCTTCCCCTGGGAAGGTTAGGGAGGCCTCTTACACGGGTCCCCCAGGCAGGAGTCTGTCCTCTTTGGGAACAAGGAGGCAGCCCTCTGCTCCAGGGGACAGGCGGCAGCCCCCACTGCCCTGGAGGATGGGTCCTGTGTCTCAGGGACCCCGTCATGCTCTCTGGCCTCCCCACTGGACACTCTCTGTGTTCCCACAGGAGAAAGATGCCCCTTGTGAGAGAGAAAGCCTGAGCTTTTTCCCAGCTTTGCAGTTCCAGTCCGCCTGGCCAACCCCCACTGCATCCAAACAAAGCAAGTTCATGAGAGCTGGAAGGCATTTTTGGCTCCCTGGATGTCAGAGGAGATTCCCTGGACACAGAACCTGATGTCACTACCAGATCATTAGGACTTGACATTGCATCGCATCGATTCAGTTTTTAAGTGCCAAGTAAACTGTGAAACTGAGAAAAAAAAAAAAAGGAGAACAAAGCTGACTGCCTTCTCAGTCTCCACCCTGGCCAGATTCTCCCTGAGTAAAAACCTAGGACAGTTCTCTAGCTTTAAAAGAAATAAATAGGTCATTGTATAATTGAAACCCAAGCACAAAAATTTGTAAGTCTACAACTGGTTGTTTCACTAATAAAACTTAAAAAATAAATAAATAAATAAATAAAATAGGGGCTGGAGCGATAGTACAGGGAGTAGGGTGTTTGCCTTGTGCGTGGCCTACGTGGGTTTGATCCCCAGCATCCCATATGGTCCCCAGAGCACTGCCAGGAGTAATTCCTGAGTGCAAAGCCAGGCGGAAGCCCTGAGCATCGCTGGGTGAGACCCAAAAAGCAAACAATAAAAAATAAATAAGCCAGTGTAAGTCAGCCCACACAGTAGAGAAAATCAGAATAAAGGCTGGGGTTTTGTTCATAGAGTTTGGGTAGGGGTCAAGGGACACCCCAGGAGGCCACAGCCCCGTGTACTTGGCCTTTATGGGTCAGGCCCTGCCCTGCAGCCTTACGCCCACTGCCCTATGCAACTCATGGCAGCCGTGGGCAGCAGCCACCACACGCATACCCACTTCACAGATGGGCAGCGGGAGAGAGCGGACAGGTCCTGAGGAGACTCCACCCAGCATGGCTGGGCCAGACAGCGGGGCTGCGTGTGGTGCGGGTTCTTGCCCCGGCTGCTCCCCCTCCAGGGAAAGTGCTCGCCGGTTCCACCAGCCAATGTTGGAACAGCATCCCCAGAAGGACTCAGCACTGCTGCCCACTGTTCACCGACTCCTGGGGATCGTCCTCCCCAAAGGGCAGGCGCGGGCCCTGTCTCTGCTGGGGCCACACCCGCCACTCCTCTTTTGTTTGTCCTCTTATAAAATCTTCCTGAGTCTGAAAAAAAAATAGCTCAGAAAAATTTGATCTTGTAAATGAAAAGCAACGTTAAAGTAAGTTACTGATACTGCTTGCTATGAGGCTAAAACAAGGCGGCAGGTCAGAGTTCACTTACCATAGAAATCATGGTTCCTTCCTCTGCAAGATGCAAGTATTTCTTGAGCTCTTCAACTGCGTTTGAGACCCCTCCTCCCGCCCTCTCCCACTGCGCAGACACCCACCCTCCAGCCCCTAGTGGGGAGTCGGGCCTGCCTCCAAGGCCACATGCTGGCTGCTGGGAGCCTCACGCTCAGAGCCCAGGAGACCCAAGCACTCCCCACACAGGGCAAGCAGAGGGACCCCTTGCCCACCCCATCTCAGAGCCGTCCTCTCCTGGCTGGGCCTCAGCTGCCCTTGGATGGATCCCCTCTTGGAAAGGGCCCGTGTTGGTCCTGAGCCGAGCCCTGGGGCACGGCTCACGGTCCGGAGCCTCGTGTCCATCCCACCCAACTGCTGCGCCCACCCCTGGCCTGTGCTCAGGCATCGGGACCCCCCCACACACACCCACTGCCGCCATCCCTTCAGCAGGCACCACCCCACCCCAGCTGAGCCCTGCCGGGACCGCGAGACGGAGGGACAGTGCAAGAACCAGGACGAGCTCAGCTGTGCGAGATCTTTTTATTGACAACCCTCCCCGGCCCTGCACGGGGCGAATACAGCGCAGGGCATCTGTGGCGCAGCAAGGGTGTGCCCAGGCCCGCCTGGCCCCCTGGACGCGCAGACACCCCGCCCCCCAACCCCGGCCTGAGCGACACCGCCCCCACCCCACCCTACCCCCGACCCCACCCCTCACAGCTAGACTTGTCCGGGGGGAGTCCTGTGCCTCCTGCCTCCGGGGTCCCTGCTCAGGTTCAGATGTCTCCACCCCATGGGTAGCTCCGGGGAAGCCACCTTGGGCAGGCGCCCCTGGTCCACCCAGTGCAGCCCCCCCAGGCCCACATCTCCCCCGGGAACCACGCAATAAATAAATAAATACAGGAGGAGCGGGGCGGCCCCGGGGGCCAGGGATGCCTGAGCCTGCTCACGGCTTAGGGGGACACGCCCGGCACAGGGGGCAGCGTGGGGTGGGGGGACAGCAGGCAGTGGGAGCCCAGGGGTCCTTGCTCCACACCGAGGCCGTCCTGCAGCAGGGGCGGCCTCAGCACCAGCCTGGGGCCCAGCTGCTAACCAGGGCGGCATGGGAGAGCAGGAGCGACTGGCAGTGGGCGGGCTGAGCATGGGTTTGCTCAGCCTAACTCCAAAGGCCTTTCCACGGAGGATAGGGGGGCTGGGAAAGGCACCCCTGTCTCCAGAAGCAGTTCTGGTCCCGGCAGCCCTGCCCCTGCCCTCTGAAGGGGGAAACCAAGAACTCCTGAGGGCTGGGGTACGGCTGTCCCAGACCCTGCCAGCAGCAGGACCTCCCTGCCAGGTGTCCAGTCTCCGAGCTCCCAGGCCTGCAGAGAGGCCCTGGTGCTAGGAGTCCTCTGGGCTAGCAGGCCTGGCTCACCACTGCCCTCCAGTGGGCATTCCCTGCCCTGCGGAGTTCCCACAGCCTGACAAGCACAGGGCAACTGAGCCAGGCCTTGGAGGACTCTTCTCCCATGGGGGGCTCAGGAGTGGGGCCAGGCGGCCATCGGGGGACAAGGGTGCAGCCCCAGAAGCTGAAGGTCCAGCAGCTCCGGATGCAGAGAGCGAGGCAGGAGAGGAAACCTACTCAGAAGTCGGGCATGTTGGCCCCACATACGCTCCAGAGTGCCGGGGAGCAGACGTGGGGTCTCCAGCGGCCAGGCCCAGTGCCAGCGAGGAGCCCGGCCTCTGCTCACTTGCTCAGCGTCTGGTTACAGGATGCACACACAAACACAGTCTCTCTCTGCGCTTCGGGGGCTGAAAAGAAGAACCGTTGAGTGGCTTCCCCGGCAAGCCAGAAGCACCTTCCCAGGCACAAAGTACTAGCCCGCGCCCACACTGACCACTCACAAGCCTGCCCCAGGCAGCCTCGCTCCCCCACCCCCCCCACCCCCGATAGGGGACTCTGGGTCATCAGGCCAACAGCTGACCTCTCCCAGGGGTTCCACAACTGGAGATGATGCTGGTGCCAATAGAACGTCTTTGAACATGTGGGAGTACGTTTTCAATAAAATATCTGGAGGGAAGTATCCTCACTGTGGTTAGCTCTGCATGGTGAGGTTGCGGGATAATGTCTCTTATTAACTGTAGTTTCTGTAACTTCTATGACTTCTGTAATTTCTATGACTTCCAGCTGGAGGATGTGTTACTTGCATGACCAAAGGGGTAAGAAGCACCTGCTTCAATATGATGCATCTTAACAGAGTGGGATGAAAAGTGCTTTCAGGTTGGACACGTGCTCCTGTCCTGCACCGGCAGCCAGGAAGGGCTCATGCCAAACTGTCCTCTGAGAGATTGGGAACGCTCTCCGAGACACTGGGAATACCCTCTCAGACTGGGAATGTTCTCTGAGACACTGGGAATACTCCCTGAGACTGGGAATGTTCTCCAGATACTGGGAATACTCTCTGAGACTGGGAATGATCCCCAGAGACTGGGAATATTCTGAGACTGGCAGTGTTCTCCAGAAGCTGGGAATGCTCTCTGGGACATAGGGAATACTCTCCGAGACTGGGAATGTTCTCTAGCGATTGGGAGTGGTCTCTGAGAACCTGGGAATGATGCTTTTCCCTCTGCTGATCAACAATTTTATATTTGGGGGGATGAGTTGGGGCCACACCTGGCCGTGCTCAGGGGTTACTCTGGGCTCGGCATTCAGGAATCATTCCTGGTGGCACTTGGGGGACCATATGGGGTGCTGGGGATCGAGCCCAGGTCAGCTGTGTGCTAGGCAAGTGCCTTACTCCTGGACAATCTCTCTGGTCTAATTTCCTATGGTTTCTTTACAGTGAGTATTGACAAGGTTTATTTATGATCATTTCCATAAAAGGAAACGATTTTTTGTGTAACGTGTGGCAAATTATGAGAAAGGGCTCTGTCGGTGCTGCTTCCTTCTGACGCAGGACGTTCCGGGTTTCGTTTGTTAAGGAGGAAGAAAGAGACGTGACTACAGGCCAGACCCAGTCGCAGGGCCTTGACTAACTGGCTAGTGCCCTCACCTCCTTCCTTTCACAGCGCAACACCCCCTTATTTTTCCTTGAGGGGCCTCCTACTTGCAAGACAAGCATCTACCATGGAACTGCCTCCCTGGTCGCTGCCCGCTGGTCCCTGCCCCGCTGCCCGATCCAGCAGCCCCTGCTCACCTGTGGCCCCCATGGAGGACTTGGGCACCTTGAAGGAGCAGCACCGAGAGCAAAAGCTGTTCCCACAGTTGCTGCAACTCCTCTGCAACCGCAAGCAAGGTCACGTCAGCACCAGGCCCCCTCCTCATTCCCCATCAACCCTGCGCCCCCCCCCCACCCCCACTCTGGGGCAGCTGCACTCTCCCGCATGCCTGCTGCTCTGACCCATGGAACCAGGGAGTGACACCAAGTGACAGGCCACAGAAGGTGGGGGGGGGGGGGGTCCTGAGGTGGCCAGCCCACTCCCGCCCTCGCCGCGGGTCCCTGCAAAGCCCCCCTGGGGAGACTCACCCTTTTCTTCAGCACCGAGAAGGTGGCCGAGCAGCCCGTGCAGGTCCCTGGAAAACAGAAGTCACAGTTCAGCCCAGCTCAGCCCAGGCTGGGTCAGACCCTAGGCGGGGAGCTGCTCCAGACCCGCCAGGAGGGATGGGACCCCACCCCAAAGGCAGATAGGAAGTAGTGGAGAGGGAGAGGGTCCTGGCACGGCCACTGGGCGGAGGCCCACCTGCAGCCCAAGACCTGCCTCTGGACATCCCTCCTGACTGCAGGAGCCCACGCAGAGGGCAGCCAAAGGCCGGAATGATGAAGCCTGAGCCCCCAGCCCTGTCCCCACCCCCCTCCCCCAGCAGGCACCTGCTGCCTCCCAGCCCTACCCAGGCTGTTGGTGGGGTAGCGCTTGCGCAGACGCTCCGTGAGCCGCGACACCTTGCTGCGCAGCACCTCGTTCTTGCTCAGGAAGCCGTTGTCCTGCAGGACCAGCTCATCCTCCACCGGGCACGGGGCGCACTCGTCATCATCCTGCGGAGAAAAGCACGTTCCAGTGCCCCCGCCTGGCCTGGCAGGCCCCCAGGGCGTGGAGAAGCTGACCAAGATTTGATCCCTGGCACCCCGTGTAGTCCCCTGAGCACGGCCAGGAGGATCCCTGAGTGCAGCCTCCCCCTGCCCAGACCCTGCCCACCTCCCCCAGGTTCCTACTTACCAGCACCACCAAGTGGGTCTCCTGTCTCCCATGGCGCGGGGGGAGAGGAGAGAAAAGAGAGAGAAAGAGAAAGCGAGAGGTAGCAGAGAGGAGGCAGCAGGCGAGGCCCCCCAAGAGGAGACGCAGGAGGCAACTCTGGGTCCCATCTAAGCCTGTCCCAAAGAGGACACCAACAGCTCCCTCCGAAAGGACCCTGACAGCTAACAAGCTCAAGAGAACTGCCGGGAAAGGCTCTGCCCCACTGCTGCTGCAACTGGGTGCAGCTGATTAAGTGGGTCGTGATTTATGAGAACAGAGCAAGATCTCTTGGCAGCACACTGTTGAGGAAACCATGCTTCAGTTAAGCTCTCTGTGTCAAACGGGTGATGATGGAAAACAGGGTGCTGAAATTTGCCAAGGGTGGAAATGCCCAAAAGACTCTCCACCATCACCATCACCATCACCACCATCACCACCATCTCCACCACCACCACCACCACCATCACCACCACCACCACCACCACCACCATCACCACCACCACCACCATCACCACCACTACTACCATCACCACCATCACCACCATCACCACCACCACCACCACCACCATCACCACCACCACCACCATCACCACCACTACTACCATCACCACCATCACCACCATCACCACCACCACCACCACCACCATCACCACCACCACCACCACCGCCATCACCACCACCACCATCACCACCACCACCACCATCACCACCACTACTACCATCACCACCACCACCATCACCACCACCACCACCGCCACCACCACCACCACCACCACCACCACCACCACTACCACCATCACCACCATCACCACCACCACCACCACCACCACCATCACCACCACCACCACCACCATCACCACCACCACCACCACCACCACCATCACCACCACCACCACCATCACCACCACCACCACCACCACCACCATCACCACCACCACCACCACCATCATCACCATCACCACCACCACCACCACCACCACCATCACCACCACCACCACCACCACCACCATCACCACCACCACCACCATCACCACCACCACCATCACCACCACCACCACCACCATCACCACCACCACCACCACCATCACCACCACCACCACCACCACTACTACCATCACCACCATCACCACCATCACCACCACCACCACCACCACCATCACCACCACCACCACCACCACCACCACCATCACCATCACCACCACCACCACCACCACCATCACCACCACCACCATCACCACCACCACCACCACCACCATCACCACCACCACCACCACCACTACTACCATCACCACCATCACCACCATCACCACCACCACCACCACCACCATCACCACCACCACCACCACCACCACCACCATCACCATCACCACCACCACCACCACCACCATCACCACCACCACCATCACCACCACCACCACCACCATCACCACCACCACCACCACCACCACCACCATCACCACCACCACCACCACCATCACCACCACCACCACCACCACCATCATCACCACCACCACCACCACCACCACCACCATCACCACCACCACCACCACCACCATCACCACCACGATGATCCAGAGGCTACAACTGTGTCTCCAGCTCGTGAGCAGCTGAGACAGAGAATACCCACATGGGTGAGGCTGAGACCCAAGGGACGTGGGCTCGGGGAACCCCACCCCTTTCCTGCAGACCCCACTTTGTAGAGAGACAGGAGGGAGATGAGTCCCCCCAGAGCTGCACCACCACAGGGAAGGCTCGTCTGCGGAGGGCAGGGGGACATATGAGTCTGAAGGAGACTGCCACTGCTCAGCAGCACGGGCCCCTGCAGACCCAGCCCCAAAGCTGCTGGGTTTCCAGAAAAAAAAGTGACAGTCCAGAGTTTTCACTGAAATCTTCCCCTTCACCCCGCCCCAGCCCCAAGTATTAGCTTCAAAGGTTTCAAATGATCATCTGGACCTGAATAAAGACAGTTCTGCAAGTGACCAGGGTGAGCCACTGCCCTGAAGTCAGGGAAGTCTGGACTCTGAGCAAGCACTGCTCCCTCCAACCTTCCCTCGGCCTCAGGGTCAAAGGCCCCAGCCCAGGCAGCCCTGGGCCTTTCCCTCCTCACAGCCACACCTGCGGGCTCTGCAGAAGGCCTCCTGACCCCCCCACCCAGCCCCCCAGTCCCAACCTGAGCCCCAGATGATGGGTCAGCAGCAAGAACATGGACGTGCCCGACCCCTCCCTGCTCAGAGCCGGGCCTGGCTTCTCGTGGCAAGCGCAAAGAACTTTGTCAAGCCAGGCATGGCAGTCAGAGAAACCAGGGCTCAGGATCACCCCCATTCTGCCCCTGCCCGTGTGGGGGTGCAGGACAGGACCACCCACCTCGATCGCGTCTTTAAACTCCTCGTCGGGTTCGGCCTCCTCTGCCTCCTCGATGCTGCCCGGTGTGAGCTCCTGGCAAGAGAGACACTGTTCCAGGAGAGAGATGGCAGCCCTGCCAGCCCCCCTGAGTGTGTGCCGCTGCCCACCGAGGCCTCGAGGCAGGAAGCCACTGGGTGGAGAGCGTCAGGTGGGTCTGTAGCAGCGTCCTGTGAGCAGCTCAGGCTGGGGGCCTGGCACTAAATCTTGGGGGTGTTCTCTGGGCCCTTACCTCTCCTCGAGAAATCAGAACAGCCACGTCCTCAGGAAGAGGCTGTATCCCTGGGGCCACATGGACCAAGTGCTGGGGACAGCTGAGTCAGCGCTCAACAAAGAGGGCGGGACTAGTATCGCTGACATCAGCGCTGCGCAAGGTATGGGCTCTGTGCGGGCACGCGCGCGCACGTGTGTGTGTGTGCATGTGCATGTGTACGTGCAGCACAGTGTGCTCAGGCGTGTGTGTGTGTGTGTGTTTGTGCGTGTTCAGCAGCAGCAATGGGCAAGCTGGCACTGGGACTGCAGGCGCTATGTGCCAGGATCGAGACTCACCTCTGTGGGCGTGGACACTGGTGTGTAGTCGGGCAGCGTGCTCCTCCCGACAGTGGCCGGCGGCGGTGGGCTCTCACAGGCTGGCTCCTCCTGGCCGGGGTTCAGGCGTCGCTGCAGGGACGCTCTGCACTCAGCCACCACTACCCAGGCGAGGCGGATGGGGTGGGAGCAGAGCAGAATGGAATGAGGGGCGCTGGGGGGCAACCGCCTCTGCAGCAGGCTGGCTGCACCACCGGCACCACCTCCCTGACACAGCCGGAAGGAAGCCTCCGAGGCAAACCCGAGAAGTGACAAAGTGACAGCCTCCCGTGAGCATGTTCCAGAGAGTCCATGCAGAAAGTGCCCAGTAAATGACGCTTCCATAATGAGTTACCACCCCAGGCCCTTGCGGGGGTGGGGGGGAACGGACAAATCAAGCCCCCCGTCCAACATGTGGATGAGCCCAGCTTCCGGGACCCAGGGCCTCTCCAGGTCGCCCCCAGCTCAGAGTCAGACAGCAGCCGGATCCACGGGGATCACCCAGGCGGCTGCATCCCAGAGCACCCCCAGGAGAAGGTCCCTCCTCTCTCCCTCCCTCGACACCAAGAGCCACCAGAGTCTGAAGCGGAAAGTCATTACCCGTAGTGATGGAGTTCGAGTGTCCCTCTCCCCTCGCGGATGGCACAAAGGGCAGGACCACGGTCGGCCCCGGCACCCCTGGCCCGAGCCCAGGGCTTACCTCGGAAGAACTCCACGTTGCCCAGGAAGAGGGTGCTGTTCACAAGGGCCAGGACCCAGCACAGCGGCAGCAGGTACAGCAGGCAGACTGTGCCCAGGAGGGCCCCGTAGAACCTACACGGACAGAGAAAACAATGGGAGCAGCGGCCCCTGAAATGGGAAGGAACGAGAGCGGGGTGCTCCTCCAGAGGGGCGCGGGGCACAGCCCATGAGCAAGGTCCGCCTGCCCGCCAAGAGGAAACTGCACAGGGTGGATGGATTCACAACTCCCTCCACATCCGGGCTGGTTGACCCCAAGCAGACATAAGGGAGGACCACATCAGTGGTTGAGGCCGGAGCCACGGAGAGGGTCAGGGTTCCACACCCACCACTCCTCAGAGGCCCAGGCTCTGAGCTTCACAGACACACAGACTCGAGTCTGAGCCACTTCCCGTGTGACCCCAGGCAAGGTCCTTGTACAGTGCGGTTGGACGCTCAGCCCAGCATGACAGGGCAGACACAGTTAATAAACGGAAAGTAGTGGTCTAGCATCAGTCAAAGACAAAATGCAACTGAGTGGGGGCCAGAGCGAGAGTCCAACGGGAAGGGCTCTTCCCTTGTGAGAGCAAGATGAACGCCATGATAGGCTGCAGCTAACATTAAGTCTCAACTAGGCCTCAGTGTCTGTTTCCCCGAAGCAGGACTTGCGATTTCTGGTAAACTCTCAGTTGAGTAATTCGCCGAGATAAGGAACTGGGTAGTTGGGTCTGGCTGGTCACGAGGGGACACTGTGCCCTCCTTGGAAACACCACAAACTGTTACTGAGAAACTGTTGTCTAACTGTAATACGGCCAATGCTAAAAACAGACCAGTATGTAAATTGCTTCTGAACACTGAGCCCAATATAAACCACTTGTGATTTGGAGTCGGGGGTCCCTGTCGTTGCCACTGTGTTGGATGAGACTTGGACCCTAGCTTGAGCTAGCAAAAAAGTTCCTTTTGCATTATCGTGTGTGGACTTGGTCTCTCTGCAATTGGGGATCCGAAACTCAGGCACAACACCCTTACACTCTGCAAACCCAAGTTCAATCTCTGCCATCCCATCTGGTCCCGCAGGCACCATCAGGAGTAATTTCTGGGTGCAGAGCCAGGAGTCAACCCTGAGCATTGATGGGTATGATCCAAAAACCAAAAGAAAAAAAAAATAAACAGTAGAAAGCAGGCAAATAAAAAGAGAGCATATGTAACTAAACTTGTATGAGTCAAAATACAAATTAAATTAAAAAGTCACTCTATTTAAAAAAAAAAAAAGTAGAGGGGCCGGAGCAATAGCACAGCGGTTAGGGCGTTTGCCTTGCATGCGGCCTACCTGGGTTCAATTCCCAGCATCCCATATGATCCCCTGAGCACCGACAGGAGTAACTCCTGAGTGCAGAGCCAGGAGTAACCCCTGAGCATTGCCAGGTATGACCCAAAAGAATAAAAAAAAAGGAGACATTGACTAAACTATTAACAAATTAGCCCCAAAAACCTCCATGGATGTGGCTCAGGGGTAATGCACATGCCTTGAACACACACAGTCTACATTCACCCTTGGCACTGCAAAACAAACCCTCCTGGATCTTGAGCAATAGCTCAGCGGGTAAGGCGTTTACCTTGCACGCGGCCGACCTGGGTTCGATTCCCAGCATCCCATGTGGTCCCCCAAGCATCACCAGGAGTAATTCCTAAGTGCAGAGCCAGGAGTAACCCCTGTGCATCGCCAAATGTGATGCAAAAAAAAAAAAAAAAAACACCAAAAAAAAAAAAAGCTTGTAAAAGTGGTCTGTAAGTTACAGTCTGCTCACTGACTACATTAATCTATTATAAACACAAAAAAACGTCCCAGACAATGGCGAGAGCCACTCCCAACACTGGAGAGAAAGGACACAGTACAGAGAGCGAGTCCCAACCACGGGGGGGGGGGGGGGGGGGCTCTCCGCCTCCACAGCCCAGGCTCGGCCGAGCTGCATGAGGGGATGCAATTACGGGTCCCTCTCCTGCCTGGGCGACTCCTTGGGCACAGGAGCAAGGTCTGGCACAGGAGCTGGGCAACACTCTTCCCTGGGCCCCACCTCCCACCTCCCTCCTCCCGGTGGGGCGAGAGGGCCACTCACTGCGAGGACACGAGCGGATTCTCCCAGTGCAGCACGCGGTAGGCGGCCTCCAGGCTCCCGCACAGGCGGCTCAGGAAGGCCTCCAGCTGGATCAAGCTGGGGGCACAGGGGCAGTAGTGAGCCCACCGGCCGGCCCGGCACACTCACCAGCCCTGCTGCTCAGGGACAGCCGGAGACACGGAGGGCTCGGGAGAAGCCCCCTTCCGCCCCCCCACCCCCGCCTCTCCCAGCAGGCCCGGCATCCGCACTAAGACAGAAACTCTTATCCTGGCTGCCGCTGCGGCTACTGAACTGTTTGACGCCGGCAGGGCAGCAGTTCCCCTCTCAGAGGCCCACAGCTGGGTACACTCAGATGCAGGGGCAAAGGCAGACCAGGTGCGGCCACCCAAGGCGTAAGGTCAACGCACACCAACAACTGCCCGGTATCTGTTGCCGCGGTTTTTTAATAGATGCGCCCCCAGGAGCAAAGAGCGCGGTACCCAAACCTTGGTCTCTTTCGAGAAAGGGCTGATCACAGAGGCCGGGCAGGCAGAGTAAGGGAACCTGAATACAGAGCTGTCCTGCAGACAAAGCCACACTCAGAAAACAGCTCAGAAAACAGCCGGCACCATGGGAAGAACACGGGCACCAGCTCCCAGCACTCCCCCTACTGGCCAACCTGAGACTGCATAAACAGTAATAATAGGCACCGCCAAGTAGCACCTGAGGCAGGGATAAGGTCAAAGAAATGTGTAACTGGGTCATGCCATCAGTGGGCACATCCCAGAGTGACCATACTGCCGTGCAGACCTTGCCATCCCTACGTAGACTCTTCCCTACAAGCCCACAGGACACTGCAATGTGGGCAGCCCCCGAGACCAGAATGCATGACCTGTCCAATAGAATCAGAAATCTGAGTTCACATGGGTAACAGAAGAATGCCAGTTAATAATGCTCATCATTCACCCTTGCGGACATATGCACACCATTATTCACGCAGCACTTAATATGCTAGCTAAGATAACCTAGGTGTCCAACAATAGCGAAGTGGGTCGTGAAGATGTACACCAAGGAATTCCACGCAGTGGTAACAAAGGACGACATCATGCAATTTGCTGCAACATCGTTGGAACTGGAAGGTCTCACGTTAAACAAAATAAGCCAGAAGAAGAACAAACACAGGATGATCTCATTTATTTGTGGTACAAAAAATAACTGGACAAAAGGATGTAAACTTTTAAAGAGGCAGGATGCCTCGCTCACCATTGGTCCTAAAATATAGGGAGGACAAGGAGAGAGAAAGAAAGAACTCAGGGGGGAAAGGAAGAAGAGGCAGACAGGAAGCAGAGAGGGGCAGGGGTCAAGGGGATCTGGGCACATTGGAGGGGTAGATAAATGAGTAGTTTAGGTAAATACCCAAACCACAGAGTCAACACCAAACTCAAAAATGTGCCTATAAGGATGACAGGCTGGGGGGGTGGGGGGGGGGGGTGAGGAGTTGAGACGAACCTGAGAATCCTGGAGGAGGGAAGAAGACACTGGTGGTGGGACTGGTGCTGGAACATTGTGTGTCTAAAACTCATCTATGAATAACTTTGTAAATCATGGTGCTTTATTAAAAAGACAAACAGATATATCAAGAAAAGGGCCAGAGGGGGGTGGGGGGTGGGAGGGATATTGGGACCCATGGTGGTGGAAAATGGGCACTGGTGCAGGGATGGGTACTGGATCATTGTATAACTGAAACCCAAGCACAAAAATTTGTAAGTCTACAACTGTACCTCATGGTGTTTCACTAATAAAAATTTTTAAAAAAAAGGCCAGAGTGGTAGGACAAAGGATAGGATGCTTGCCTTGCACACAGCTGACCCAGGTTTGAACCTGGGAACCCCATATGATCCCCTAAACACTGCCAAGAGTGATTCCTGAACATAGAGCCAGGAGTAACCGCCAAACACAGCTGGGTATGGCCCAGAAACCAAAACAAAACCCAAAAAAGGCACAGCCTGGGTCTGATCAGGTAACTCCCAATGAGGGAGACTGTACAATATACCTTGTCATATTAAAAAACGTCATAGTCACAAGAAATAAGGACAGAGTAACTATTCTCAGTCACAGGAGAGTAAAGAACATAAAAATCGAACGTAACACATGATTCTGTGCTGGATCCTGGATCAGGAAAATTTCTATTTAAAAAAAAAAACACACATGACAAATGTGGCTAGGAACTATCAGACGTACAAATGTTACTGTTACTGATGTCAGAGCTCCTCATTTTGATTTCGGGACTGCAGATGCAGAAGAGAATGTCCCTGTTCTTAGGAAATTCAAGTGAAGAATTTGGGGGTACCCACAAAGAATGTTTGCATTTACTTTCAAATGGTTCAGAAAGGAAAAGATACTGTCTGAGCATAGAGAGATAAGCAATGTGCTAAGATAGAACCATTTTCTATCTAAATAGAGGGTAGATAGAATTTTGTGTTATTCCTCCAGTTGGTATTTGCAAGCTTCAAGTCACTCCAAAGCAAAGTGGAGACTGGAGCAATAGTGCCGAGGGTAGGGAATCTTGCACGCTGCCAACCCAGGTTCAATCCCTGGTAGCTCAAATGCCCCCTGAGCTCTGCCAGGAGTGATCCCTGGGCACAGAGCCAGAAGTAAACCCTGAATACAACCAAACAAAAACAAATGAACAACAACAAAAATCCCAGATGCAAGTCTCACTCCAGATAACTGGGGCCAGGGTCGGGGATCAGGTGGGAGAGGACATGCCAGGCATGTGCCAGGCCCGGGTTTTGATCCCCAGCACTGTCTGGCTCCCCTGTACCATGGGAGGAGGCCCTGGTGGCACTCAAGCACTGCCTGGAGTTTCCCCACAATGCAAGAGCGTTTCCGGGGTCGGCCCCAGGCCTCTGTGTTTCTGAGGCTCCACAGACGTCCAAGTAGCCTGGGAGGCAAGCTAAGCCCACTGCCGTGTGGAGAGAGCTCGGTGGGTCCCAGAAGGCTCAGGAGACGCCAGCTGCCACTGAAGCTGTCACAGCTGGCATCACTCAATAGACGGCACCCTGGAAGCACCGGCTCCGTCATACTCAGGAAGCTGAACTATTCAGTCATGTGCCATACTGCAGTGGCCGTGACTGAACAGTTCTCAGGCACCAGGCACCTGTTCAACAGACACCTCTTCACAGCCACCGCAGAGGGACACCTGTTATTATCCCATTTCACAGGCTGGGTACCTGGTCCCGTGTTCCTACTGGGCAAGTCGACGACAGCTGGGACTGGAACCCGCCAATGTCTCATACGTGCACCTGCTCTGTCAGGACCCTAAATGTTTCTTTAGTGGAAAGTACACAAGCTGCACCCTTGAGATCTGAATATGGGTCCCGGCCTGATCCCCTTCAAGCTGCCATGAGCCTTCTCCCTCATCACTAAGTGGTGGCCCCCAGAACGGTTAAAAAGAGAGGAAAGAGCGTGTGGGGGGGTCCGGAGTGATAGTACAGTGGGGAGGGCGTTTGCCTTGCACGCGGCTGACCCGAGTTCAGCATCCCATATGTGTCCCCCGAGCATGGCCAGGAGTGATTCCTGAGTACAGAGCCAGGAGTAACCCTTGAACATCGCTGGGTGTGACCCAAAAAGAAAAAAAAATAAATAAAATAAAGAGTGTGTGGGGGTTCCCCACACAGAGCCCGGCTCAGGGCTGGCACGCTGAGCAGGGTATGCTGTTACGGGGGTCACTCCCCATCCCCCAGCCCCTGCCATACTCACAAGCTCTTCACCTCTGCCACCGCCTCGGGCCGGGACAGGCGAACCCGCTGCAGGTCCTCCTGCCGCACGCTGTGGTACTTCCTGCGCACCAGCTCGCTCTCGGGCAGCCGGGCCCGGCAGGCCTCCTGGAGGTAGCCCAGCAGCGCGGGCACCGAGATCAGCAGGGCCCCCACGGAGTACCAGGCACCTGGGAGACCAAAACCGGGGCATGTCAGCAGGCCACCTGGGCCGGAACCCCGTGGGCGGCTAGACGCCCCCACACCAGCTCTCCCACCTCCTCTGTCTCCCCGTCCCTCTCTGGCACCCGAGAACGTCCTCAGTGGCACAGCGTGGGAGCGGCCCCAGGCTCCTCTGTGCGTGAGGACTGGGCTTCACTTGTCCACTGCTGTCGGCCGACATCTGTTTTTCCCACATGATCAAACTGTGAGTCCATAGTGGGAAGCCCAAGCTTGGGGGTTGGCTGCGGGGAGTTACTGACTGGTGACTGACATTCTGACCTGGAGGTCTTTTCCCCGGCTCTTAGGATACTGCATTGACAAATGGTGAAGCTGAGAGAATCTTCAAAGGCGATTCTCTCAGGGGCGAGCCAGGAAGGGGCATTCTGGGCACAGAGTAAACACTCGTTGAATATGTCATGTGGTTTGTCTTGTTTGGGAGCCACTCCTGGTGGTGCTCAGGGGACTACTCTGGCTTGGTGCTTGGGGTCACTCCCAGCAGTGCTCAAGGGACCATGCAGTGTCCAGGACCAAAACTGGGCCTTAAGCATGCAAAGCATGTGCTCCAACCCACTGAGCTATCTCTCTAGCCCAGTATCTGTCATATAAACTGATTTATTTTTGGAATATGTTTAGAAACTCTAACAGCCTAGGAAGGGTAACCGAGTTCTGAGTGGATGAAGAACAGCCTTACTGATAAAGAGAATGAGGTCTTTTGCAAACTGGGTCCATTTTCAACCCACTGAATCCCTGTCTTCATGTGCAACAAAGAAAATACACATGAGCAATGTGAGGCCAGCGGCAGCATGAACATATGAAGGATCCGGTCAGTCAGGACATTCCACCCCGGTCCTTCCCAAACTTCAGTGGGGTTTGACTTTTCTGCAGCCATCCACCAGCTCCACCCAGGGACAGGCTGGGTGACAGCGCACCAGATGGTCAAAGGCCCACAGGCACCACTTCTCCCAGGATCCCTACAGCTACCCCCCTGACCTCACTGCTGGTGACCATCCCTGCTGGGCCCAACTGCTGAGCTAGAGAAAAACAACGGTGGTAAAAGTCCCTGATCTGGAGCTGGAGTGATAACACAGCGGGTAGAGCATTTGCCTTGCACACGGCCAACCCAGGTTCGATTCCCAGCATCCCATATGGTCCCCTAAGCACCGCCAGGAGTAATTCCGGAGTGCAGAGCCAGGAGTAACCCCTGTGCATCACCGGGTGTGACCCAAAAAGAAAAAAAAAGTCCCCAATCTACCCAGCACCCTCGAGCTATGTCACGCCTCCCCCAAAAGAAGTCTGCATCAGCTTGAAGAATTACTGCACCAGCAGTGAAAGAAAAAAACCACCCTGGCGGCAGCTCAAGTGACTGCTGGGCCCTTGCACTGTCACCCACAGATCCCGTCTCTGCCACAGGAACCCTCTGAGGAAAGCCCTTCAGAGAAGAACACCAGGCCACCACAGACAGGTTGGAGAACAGGCCTGAGGTCAGCCCTCTGTCCAGCCAGGACTATGGCCTGTGTACACCAGTAGTCGGGAGGAAGACGCCCTCTCCCAGAAATGCTGCTTCTGGGAACCCCTCCCCACACCCACTGACAAAAGCAGCCTGGCCCTGGGGGCAGCACTTACCCTCATTCAACGTGAGGAACAAGACATTGAGGCCCAGGCAGGTCAGCAAGGAACACAAAGGCATCTGCCACCTGCAACACAAGAGTCTGGTCACTGCGAAGGCCACTCCCACCAACAGGAAGGCAGGGAGCACTGTGCATGGGAGTCTCCCAGAACAGGAGCAAGAAAATGGGGCCCGGAGATTTTTAAGAAGATGCCTCTCTTGTCGAAAGTAGACTATGGACTGAACATGTTTGCCACTCAATGCCTCTTTTGCAGACCACAACACCCAAAAGGAGAGAGAGAACACAGGGGATTGCCCTGCCACAGAGACGGGGGGATGGGGGGATGGGGGTGGGAGGGATATTATCCATGGTGGTGGAAAATGGGCACTGGTGGAGGGATGGGTATCTGATCATTGTATAATTGAAACCAAAGCACAAAAAATTGTAAATCTACAACTTTAAAAAAAATAAAATAAAATAAAGGGAAAAAAAAAAAAAAAAGAAGATGCCTCTCGATCTTTGAAGCCTTAAGCATAAGAGAAAGAATACATGGAGGGTGCGGGATCCCGGAGGAAAAAAAAAAAGAAAAAACAGGTTCCAAAAAGAGCCGAGTTCACCCGCAAGTTCCAGATGGAGTAGGTGCCGCATCCCGCCTCCCCCAGATGGAACCCCGGTGACCAGAAGCCTCTACAAACACAGCTCGAGTATGCGGGAACGAGGACTTTTTCTCAAATCTGCCGGACTACACCTCCCAGGTAACCTCGGATTCCGGAAGTCACGCCCACAGCCCGCCCCCCAGCGCCATCTTTGAAGCCTTAAGCATAAGAGAAAGAACACATGGAGGGTGCGGGATCCCAGAGGAAAAAAAAAAAGAAAAAACAGGTTCCAAAAAGAGCCGAGTTCACCCGCAAGTTCCAGATGGAGTAGGTGCCGCATCCCGCCTCCCCCAGATGGAACCCCGGTGACCAGAAATCTCTACAAACACAGCTCGAGTATGCGGGAACGAGGACTTTTTCTCAAAACCGCGCGGCCGCTTATGCGGCCGAGCGACATCTCTCTATATACAAAGTGATCAATGAGAAGTAAACCACCCAATCTTTCTCACTGAAAGTCAGAGTTAAGTTTGGAGCACGGCCACAGCCCCAGAAACACAAGGACTTAATGCAGAACCCAGCAGCTTAGAGCAGAAAAGTGAAAGGACTATGCATTAATCCAGGCCATCAAGTCTGCCGGAGGGGAAAGGGTGTTGCCCCATTCGCCCTCTCTTCTCTGGAAAGAAGGATGGCGGCCGCATGGGAGCCTTGTGGACAGCAGGTATGAGCCGGGGGTGTGGGGGCGACTAAAACCTCATGGGAAGGGGGGCGTTCCGGTCCGTCCTTCACGCCCTACCGAGGTCACCAGTTGCCCCCCACGAGCGGCTCTCCAGCACGGCCACAGCCCCAGAAGCACAAGGGCTTAATGCAGAACCCAGCAGCTTGGAGCAGAAAAGTGAAAGGACTATGCGTTAATCCAGGCAATCATTTCTGCCCAGAGGGGAAAGGGTGTTGCTCCCTTCCGCCCTCCTCCCTCTGGAAAGAAAGATGGCGGCCACATGGGAGCCTTGTGGACAGCAGGTATGAGCCGGGGGTGTGGGGGCGACTAAAACCTCATGGGAAGGGGGGCGTTCCGGTCCGTCCTTCACGCCCTACCGAGGTCACCAGTCACCCCCCACGAGCGGCTCTCCAGCACAGCCACGGCCCCAGAAGCACAAGGACTTAATGCAGAACCCAGCAGCTTGGAGCAGAAAAGTGAACGGACTATGCATTGACCCAGGCCATCAAGTCTGCCGGAGGGGAAAGGGTGTTGCCCCATTCGCCCTCTCCTCTCTGGAAAGAAAGATGGCGGCCACATGGGAGCCTTGTGGACAGCAGGTATGAGCCGGGGGTGTGGGGGCGACTAAAACCTCATGGGAAGGGGGGCGTTCCGGTCCGTCCTTCACGCCCTACCGAGGTCACCAGTTGCCCCCCACGAGCGGCTCTCCAGCACGGCCACAGCCCCAGAAGCACAAGGGCTTAATGCAGAACCCAGCAGCTTGGAGCAGAAAAGTGAAAGGACTATGCGTTAATCCAGGCAATCATTTCTGCCCAGAGAGGAAAGGGTGTTGCTCCCTTCCGCCCTCCTCCCTCTGGAAAGAAAGATGGCGGCCACATGGGAGCCTTGTGGACAGCAGGTATGAGCCGGGGGTGTGGGGGCGACTAAAACCTCATGGGAAGGGGGGCGTTCCGGTCCGTCCTTCACGCCCTACCGAGGTCACCAGTTGCCCCCCACGAGCGGCTCTCCAGCACAGCCACGGCCCCAGAAGCACAAGGACTTAATGCAGAACCCAGCAGCTTGGAGCAGAAAAGTGAAAGGACTATGCATTGATCCAGGCCATCAAGTCTGCCGGAGGGGAAAGGGTGTTGCCCCATTTGCCCTCTCCTCTCTGGAAAGAAAGATGGCGGCCACATGGGAGCCTTGTGGACAGCAGGTATGAGCCGGGGGAGTGGGGGCGACTAAAACCTCATGGGTCGGGGGGCGTTCCGGTCCGTCCTTCACGCCCTACCGAGGTCACCAGTCGCCCCCCGCGAGCGGCTCTCCAGCACGGCCATGGCCCCAGAAGCACAAGGACTTAATGCAGAACCCAGCAGCTTGGAGCAGAAAAGTGAACGGACTATGCGTTGATCCAGCCCATCAAGTCTGCCGGAGGGGAAAGGGTGTTGCCCCATTCGCCCTCTCCTCTCTGGAAAGAAAGATGGCGGCCACATGGGAGCCTTGTGGACAGCAGGTATGAGCCGGGAGTGTGGGGGCGACTAAAACCTCATGGGAAGGGGGGCGTTTCGCTCCGCCCTTCACGCCCTACCGAGGCCACCAGTTGCCCCCCACGAGCGGCTCTCCAGCACGGCCACGACTCCAGAACACAGAAACCAATTTCTTAACTATCTGACTTTCAGTAGAAATACTTCCAGGGTCAATAGGTAAAATAGCAGAAATCCAAAACCAACATTTAATTCTTGAACCCAGCTGTAGAAAGCAAATCACTTCACAATGCTTTTTCAGCATGTCTGATTTGGGGGGGGGGGGGTAAACTCTAAATAATAGTGGTGAATCTTTTATTGAAACAATCTAATCAAAGCGGATAGAGTGTTAACTAGAATTCATCTGCCTCACAGGGACGGGGAGGGGTGGGGGTGGGGTTTTATTGGGGTTCTTCATGGGAAAAAATAAGTATTGGTAAAGGGAAATGTGTTTGATATTTGCATGACTGAGACATAAACCTGAAAGCTTTGTAACCTTTCCCACAGTGATTCAATAAATAAATTTAAAAAAAATAATAATAAAATAAATAAATATAAAAAAAAAAATTTTTTCAAAAAAAAAGAAGATGCCTCTCTCCTGGGATCCCCTACTCACAGGAACCCACTGAATCCCCATCTCTGGGTGCAGCAAAGGAGACCCTTGAGCAAGGTGAGACCAGCAGAAGCATGAACATCTGAAGGACCCAGTTAGTCAGGCAAGCGCTGGCAAGGGGCCCTCTGGGAAGGCTCTCTCCTCGGAACCCGCAGGACACAGGAAGAAGCAACAGCACACCCGTGAGGAACCCAGATAATCCTCATTGCCTGCTGTCAATGACCGGCCTTCATTCTTTTACAAATCCAAGAGAACACAGATATGAAACTATATTCTTCCAGTAGGAAAATCAGTGAAATGAGATATGAAGGAATTCTTTAAACCCATCTGAGACTTATTTCTAGAATGTCCTGAGTTCATTCAAGTTACTTTAAACCCGTATTAGTTCAAAAGGAAAGGAGAACAATTTTTTCTTTTAATATACAAAAATATGAAGATGGGGAAGCTGGAGTGATAATACAGTGGGCAGTTTGCCTTGCATGCAGCCAACCTGCGTTGGACCCCCAGCATCCCATAGGATCCCCTGTGCACTGCCAAGAATGATTCCTGAGTGCCAAGCCAGGAGTAAGCACTGAGCATCATTTGGGTGTGGCCCAAAAACAAACCAATCGTGCCCTAAGTGAACTGAACAGACAGAAGTACACACAGACCCGGCCACCCCCACTCCAATAAATAAATGGCACTTCAGAAGCCCCCAAAAGAGGAGAGAAAGAAGATCAGGATGACAAACCCAGCTGCCTTCATCCCTGATAAAGAACATTCAGTAGGAGGGAAAAGGGAACTGCCACTGTTCAGAAGAGCAGTGGTAAGTGCATCAGTGGCTTGCAATCAATGCATCCTGAACGTGAATGCAGTTTCTTTAAGCCTAATCAAGGTATTTCACAGCTACTAAATGAGGTCAACTAATTTACATTCTTTCATTCCTTTAAATAAAAGTCACGAGTAAGGAAATGAAATGATCTCTCTCTGCCTTTCTCCTTAAAACTCAACCCACTCCTACTACACTTATTTGGTCTCAGAACTAGCAGCCTCTTCAAGGTTAAAAGCAAAGTAAAAGTCAGGTCTAAAGGTCCTTTTAGAAATAATGTATCGGGGAGAGGGGGGGAAGGGGGGTATACTGGGGTTCTTGGTGGTGGAAAATGTGCACTGGTGAAGGGACAGGTGTTTGATCACTGTATGACCAACTGAGACTTTAACTGAAAGGCTTTGTGACTGTTCTCACAGTGATTCAATAAATAAGGTAAGGTAAGGTAAAGGCCCTCCCGTTGATCGTCGATTTGCTCGAGCGGGCCCAGTAACGTCTCCATTGGAGACTTTGTTGTTACTGTGTCTGGCATATCGAATACTCTCGGTAGCTTAAAAAAAAAACAGAAATAATGTATCACTAAAGCTTCTCTCATCCTATCTGACTTCTCCACACCAGACACAGGTACTCGAGTAGGGGCGCTAGGAGAGAGGGATTTTCTTAAAATCTACTGCAGGACCTGGGAAGAGCTCGGTGACAACGTGCTCCTCAGCACAGCCTACATGTGCCCAGCACCATCCCAGCAGCATGACCCACAGGACCCCCAGCCCCATAAGGCCCTGCACGTTGTAACCAAGGGTGGACGAGCAGAGAGAGCCCCAGCAAGCAGCCCGAAGTGTGCAAGCACTGAAATCAAGTGTGCAATGAGAACAAAACAAAGGGATGGGATGGGACAGGAAGGGGAATTAAAAAAAAGAAAGAAAGAAAGAAAAAGAAAAAAGAAAAAAAGAAAGAACTCTACTGCAGCTCCAGGTCCCAGACCTAATAGAAAAGCTCAAGGTTAGGTCCCTCTGCAGTCAAATCCTCTTTACCCAGGAAAGAACAATCAAGCGCACGAGCTGCTCTGACAGCCACTTTCACAGGCCAGTGCTCCCCGTCCCAGCAGACCCGAGACCACAGCTCCTGGGGCAGGTCAGGCCCAACCCAACTCGCAGTCCAGCTTCTCCACTACAGCCTCAGATTTCTAATTTCACAAGATGGAAACACTCTTCACGCATCAGAACCAAGAGGCCAATGGACCACGGGCAGAAGAGAAGGTCAAGACGTGTTTAATTTGGCAAGGCACAGAGAGAGAGAGCTGCGTGCGTGTGGGCACACGGACAGTGTAAACACCAGCAAGCCCCCTCCGGAGGCCGCCCCACCCCTAAAGACCAAGGTTCAATTCAGCTCGCGATGGGATCCGGAGATGAGCCCCACCGCCATCTCCCTATCCGTGCCGGAACACAGACTCAATAAAGATGGGGCAACAGGGCAAAAATCACTGCTCGGGGGCAGTAACCTGCACATTCCTAGGGGTCCTGCCATAAATTAAAGGGATTCCAAAGTGAACACGAAAAATTAGGGCCCTGGCCAGACAGTAAGAACCTTCCCTGGGACCAAAGAGCTAGTCCAGCAGGTAAGGCACATGGCCAATCCCAGCTGGGTCCCCACACCACGGCCCTCTCCCAGTAATGACAGGCCCCCAAGCACAGAGCCAGGGTAGCCACTAAGGACCTCCAGGTGTGGGTCCCCAGAAAAATTCCTTCCCTGGGGCCAGAGAGATAACACAGGGGTGAATGTTCACGCTTTGCAGGCCACCAACCCTGGTTTGACCCCCAGCATGCGAAAATAATAACAATAATAATAATAATAATAATAATAAATCTTCCACTATCTCCAGACTAAAGGAAGAATGAATACTCAAGAGGTTAACCTGACCTCCTACCCATTTTTCTCATTCATATTAAAGCATCCTTAGGAGAATCTGATGAAAATTAGAAGCTTCTTCACACACACACACACACACACACACACACACACACACACACAGAGTTTATATGCAGCTGAACAACAAGGTTTTTGTTTTGTTGATTTGGTTTTGGGGCCACATCTGGAGATGCTCAGAGTTACTCCCAGCTCTGCACTCAGGAATTACTCCCCAGCACCTCAAGTTCCCTGCAAAACTGTTGGGAGTGACTTCAAGCACTGAACCAGAAGTAATCCCGGAGAACCACCAGGAGCGGCCCCCAAACAATCAGATCACAGAAGAGAAAAATCAAAGCAGAAGGGACCAGGAAAACAACTCAAGTGGTAAACCATGTACCGTGCAAGAGTAAGACCTCAAGTCGGATTCCCCAGCATCACCAGGGATGGCCCCAGGACTCTTGAGTCCTGGGGGCTTTTATTTTTTAAAAGGGGGAAAAAATAAATTAGAACAGGGGAGATAGCTCAAAGAGCTAGAATGCAAAATTCACCTGCTTTCCCCCACCCCCGACCCACACACTACCCACCAGTACCACAATTCCAAGCATGAACCATAAGGCACACACAGGATAAAGTAACTGCACTGCACCGTCCTCCCGTTGTTCATCGATTTGCTCGAGCAGGCCCAGTAACGTCTCCATCATGAGACTTGTTGTTACTGTGTTTGGCATATCGAATACGTCACGGGTAGCTTGCCAGGCTTTGCCATGTTGGCGAGATACTCTCGGTAGCTTGCCGGGCTCTCTGAGAGGGGTGGAGGAATCGAACCTGGGTCACCTGGGCCAGCTGCGTGCAAGGCAAACGCCCTACAGCTGTGCTATCGCTCCACCCAGGATAAAGTAAAACAAGAACAAATAAATTTGAAATCCCTAATCCCAAGGTGAAAAATTATTAGTGAAAACAGTGCCCATTTCCTCTCAAGTATTTGTATTTCTTTAACTCATTCAAAATGATACATTGATTCCAATATTAATTACACTGAGACAGGGAGAGAAGAAAAGCAAAAAGCCTGAAAGGGAGAAAAAGAAGGTCCACATGTTCAAGTCAAGGGAGTGATGCAAGCTTCGGCAGTCACATAGCAGAAACCCTGCTTAGACGCCCAGGGCCTGCCGACCCAATGAGCCCGAGACACAGGGTGGGCTGGGAAGAAGCCCCATGCCCAGAGCACCTCCTAGAACAGCGCTTCACAAGGACTACAAGGCCCAGTGGGCCACTGGCTGAAAGGGGGAGGAAGAACGGGAGAGGCCTAGGCCGAGCGAGCCAGAGCAACCTGACAAGTCTGTACCTGAGCAAGTACCGGACACCGTCACCCGCGTCCCGCAGGGGTTCCAGGTAGATCTCCAGCCTCTTGTAGGACAGAACCAGGTTGAAGAGATCAAACGCTGCTGGGGACTTGGCAGGGGCGGGTGGAGACTCTGGGGGTGCCTCGGACATGATAGTGGGGCTGGCCTCCGGCCCACTCCCCTCACGCTCAGCCGTCTGCATCCTGTAACCATAATTCCTGCATTGTGTCGATGCCCACGACCATGGGCGATTTCCTGCGGTGCCTGGAGCAAACCTGGGTGGTGGGAATGCCCCTTTCCTGGGCGGTGGGAATATCCCTTTCACGGAAGACAAGGACATTCTGCAAGGACAAGGGAACTGACCAAGCCCACCTGGGAAGGCTATACCTGAAGTTCTCTGCCCCACACCAGCCCCCTCCCGAGAGCACAAACCATCCCAACATGTGCCCATTCTCAAGATAAACCGTGTCCCAGCATGCTCTGGGCTAGGTTAGTGTCCACTCCTCCTTCAGGACCAGCCTGGGATAACAGCAGGCTCTGGACTAAGTTAGAGTCTGCTGCTTCTCAGGGGTGTCTAGGATAACTTACTCAGTGGGCTTTGGTCCAGATCACAGCCCACTCATCCCCAGGGATGTCCCAGGATAACTGAGCGGTCCCTGGTAAGGGTTAGTGCCCACTCATCCTTCAGGGGTGTCTGGGGACAGATCAGTGGGCCCTAGGCTAGGTTTGTGTCCACGCCTCTCTCAGGGGTTGGCCTCCCAGCCCTAGCAGAGAGAGATCTCAGTTGCCCCCCCCCCCAGTCCCCACTTGAGGGCCCTGCCAGAAACTGACACCTGTCCACTCAGTGTAAAGTTCCATACTCTCCCTGACATGCGTCATCTCAAAGGACAGCTCCATGCCTCTGGTGCTTCCTGCAGTCCAGTCCTGGACCCTGACCAGTCCGTCGCTCCCAGCAGCTCCCTGCAGGCCCCCTGCCCGAGACCCCTCCTGGAATCCCGAGGCAGTGGTCACCTTTAAAAGCTGCTGTCACCTCCCCGCACCCACGACGGGGGACGCTGAGCAGAAAGGAGGCGGCGGGTCTTGGGCGACCCGTGACATAAGCCATACCCACAGGCACTGACCTGCGCTCAGACGCGGAGGGGGACGCGGAGGGGGACGCAGAGGTCACGGGGTCCCGAAAACCCCGCGGGCAGAGTTGGGGTGCTAGCCCGGGGGGCGCAGCAGGAGCCCGGGATGGCGGGCAGCAGGCCCGCGCCCGCAGGGGCCTAGACCACCGCCTCGCGGCCACCCGGAGAGCCCCATGGGCGCCGCGGCCCGAACCGGGGGAGGCCACGCCCGAGGTGGCGGGGCCAGCAGGTGGCAGCCCACGCGGCGTCCAGGCGCCCCACGGGGCACAGCCGGCGGGGACACGGGGGCGCGCACGGGGGTGGCACCGCACCTACCCGATCGCTGGGCTGGGAAGGGGAGCGGCGGCGACGGCCACGGCACGGGTAGGCCCGCTGGGCCCTGGAGCCTCTTCCAGGCCCGTCCGAGCCGGGGCCGCCGGAATCCCAGGTCCAAGCACCTCCTCGGCCTCCCCCACGGCCGCCGCTTCCGGGATGCCGAGGCTCGGCGGCGGCGTGCCCGTGACGTCATCGCGCCAGCCCCGCCCCGGGCTTAGCTCCACCCCTGGGCTTAGCTCCACCCTCAGGTTTGGCTCCACCCCAGGTTTATTTCCAGCCCCCGAGTTTAGCTCCACCCCCGAGTTTAGCTCCACCCCCGGTTTTAGCTCCACCTCCCCCTCAGGCGCAGGTGAGCGTCCCTGCTGAGCGCAGAGCCTGCGCTGAGCCTTTAACACCCGGCTGCAACTCAACTCTAGGTGTGAGGGAGATTCACAAAGCCCCGCGGGATTCCTGGGAGCGAATGCGACCGGCCCTTGCACCTGGCTGTGAGCGATTCCCATGTCCATGGTCCTGTGCATGCCTTTTCCAACTCACTCAGCTCGCACCATCTTGTCCCGTGACCGCCCTTTAAGAATGAATCGCGTGGCCTTGCATTAATAATGATGTCAATTCTCCAGGGAATTAGCTAATCCCTGATTACCTCTGCTGGAAGTAATCACTAGCGCCTCCAAATAGCCAGATGTAGACAGAGCCAAATCCTAGACACAGCAGTGAACTATATTTAGCAATATCCCTGCTTCTTAGAAAAATAGAGGTCCAGCTTTGTGGCTGGCCAAGATTGTCTGATCCTAAGGGAAGTGGTCACTCTTGAAGAAGAGGGGGCACCGGAAGGGGGTAAAGTGGAATGCATGAAGCCACATCAGTAGCAGTATTGTAAACCACAGTGCCTAAAAGGGGGAGAAAAGTTGCCAGGCATAGAGGCAAACTGAGGGGAGGGAGGAAAACTGGACACTGGTGAAAGGATTGGTTTGGAACATTGCATGCATTTGATATTCAATATCAAATAACTTTGTAAAATCACATTGCCTCAATAAAAGGTAAAGGTAAAGGCCCTCCCGTTCATCGGTTTGCTCGAGTGGGCCCAGTAACGTCTCCATTGGAGACTTTGTTGTTACTGTGTTTGGCATATCGAATACTCTCGGTAGCTTGCCGGGCTTTCCAAGAGGGGCGGAGGAATCAAACTCGGTTGGCCATGTTGGCTGCGTGCAAGGCAAACGTCCTACCGCCATCACTTCAGCACAGCGGGTAGGGCGTTTTCCTTGCACGCAGCCGACCCGGGCCTCAATAAAATAAGTGAATATAAATGAACATTAAAATAAAAGATTGTCTGGGGGCTGGAGTGATAGCACAGCGGGTAGGGCATTTGCCTTGTACGTGGCTGACCCGGGTTCAATTCCCAGCATCCCATATGGTCCCCCGAGTACTGCCAGGAGTAATTCCTGAGTACATGAGCCAGGAGTAACCCCTGAGCATCGCCAGGTATGACCCAAAAAGCAATAAATAAATAAGAAAATAAATAAAAGATTGTCTGATCTGCCTCTTCTTTAAGAAGGGTCTAGGGATGTGTCAAGAGAAAACATTTTTTTCCTTCCTATATTAAGTGCTTGAAATTTAACTGTCAGTAATTCACTGTGAAGATATATTTTAATTTCTTTGCAGTTGCTTCTCCTCGGATCTGCCTGAACAACTGGCCAGAGGCTACCTGTAATAGTGTAGCTCTTCTGAGAGTATGGAATTGAGAAATAATCAAGCACTCTGGATCTTACTGGGAGTAGGGAAGATAATTGGAGAATATCAGTAACTTTTGAAAAGCAGAGAGAGCACCCTCAGAGCCAGTATCAATGAAGAAAGGCATTCCCCAGTCACTCAGGAGATTGACTCAGATTTTTTATAACCAAGTTCTCATTCTTTCTTCCCCTCTGCCAGCATTCAGAGGTTTTGCCATTAATGTACTCCCCTGGATAGAAGATAGGTGGAAGAGACTAAAGAGAAAATAAAATAAATTTGAATAAAATAATAGACAAACCCCTTTTTCAGTGGTTGGGCTTTGCATCTATGAGCAAGAGTATGTATGGATCACATAATGGACTCATAAACCTCACTGTGGCCCACTGGAAAAATTCTAGGGAGGAAGTACTAGGTAGTGCTTTCCAAACTGGAAAAGAGAGGGAAGGGAAGGGAACGGAAGGGAAGAGGAGGACTAAGCAACACATTTTCCACCAGGTGGCTCTCTTGTCTACTTATACACTTTTGGACTTTCAGAAGCATCTCTAAGTGTTGTGCTCTTATGGCCTAATTCCAAGTATACTATACCGTGTGAGTGTGTGTGTGTGTGTGTGTGTGTGTGTGTGTGTGTGTGTGTGGTGTGCGTGTGTGTGTGTGTTGCTTGGGATCAAAACCAGGGCTTCACATATGTAAAGTATGTGCTCTACTGCTGAACTATAGTTTCAGCCTTCAAAGTATAACAAATCTATATTCCTTATTCTCCACACCAGGCTGTTTTCACTCAGGGCGCCCCAGAGTGGCGGGTGAGAGCACTCCCCACCCCAAGGGACCCAGCCCCAGCAGCCGACCTCCACTGCCCAACCGCTGCCACACTCCAGGCTGCTTTCCGGACCGCACGGTACATTATAGGACATTTTCTACCCATATCCCCATTTTCCATAATTGCCACACCATATTTGATGAGGTTCAGACAGTAGGCAATAAATCATAGAGAGAAATATATAAATATATGCCTCTCAGAGAGCCCAACAAGCTACCGAGTGTATTCTGCCCACACGGGCAGAGCCTGGCAAACTCCCCGTGGCATATTCGATATGCCAAAATCAGTAACGACAACAGACTCATTCCCCTGACCATGAAAGAGCCTCCAATCTTTGGGAAAAGACGAGTAAGAAGAGGCTGTTAAAATCTCAGGGCTGGTAGGAATAGAGACGTTACTGGCGCCCACTCAAGTAAATCAACGAACAACAGGATGACAGTGATGATGACAGTGATTCTCTGCTGTAACATTTCAAAATGCATTGGCATTTGAAACAAAAAGAATATTTTGTTACTTTCAAAAACTGGATAATAGTCTAAAGTATGTGTCTACCACATTTCACTGATCTGTCTGTTGATAGACACAGTTACTTCTCCCATCTGAGTATGATACATAATGCTGCTATGAACATGGCATCCAAATATATTGTTAAGACCCTGATTTCAGTTTGTTTAGGTATTTACCCAGAATTGGCCTTGGTAGCAATTCTGTATTTAATTTTTTGAGGAATTTCCACATTGTTTTTCAGGTAAGCGTCACCATTTACGTTCCCACCAAGAATGTACAGGGCAGCACATCCTTATCAACATTCCTTATTTTTTGTTTTAATCCTTTACTACTTTCAAAGAAAGCCTTCCGGTATACCTACTATGCCAAGGTTCTCTACCTGGCAAGACTGACTAACCGTTAAGATTGTTAGTTGGAATCTCTGTGCTCTTAGTAACTCAAGGCAGTGGCCATGTTCTGGGAGAGAGATTGAAAGCCAAGGTGATAGACAGGAGCATAACAGAGATGGGTGAACACAGCAGAGGAACCCAGGACTCATCTGGGAAAAACTTCACCAAGGACTGACTTTTTTTAAAATTTTTATTAGTGAAACACCCTGAGGTACAGTTGTAGACTTACAAATTTTTGTGCTTGGGTTTCAGTTATACAATGATCGAGTACCCATCCCTCCACCAGTGCCCATTCTCCACCACCACTGATCCCAGTATCCCTCCCACCCCCTTTCCCCCCATCCTACCCTGCCTCTGTGGCAGGGCATTCCCTTTTGTTCTCTCTCTCCTTTTGGGTGCTGTGGTTTGCAAAAGAGGCAGTGAGTGGCAATCATATTCGGTCTATAGTCTGCTTTCAGCATGCATCTCCCAACTTGGGAGGATCCTCCCAACGCCCTTTATTTGGTGCTCCCTTCTCTATCTGAGCTGCCTTTTTCCCTAGCATGTGCAGCTGGCCTCCAAGCCATAGAGTAAACCTCCTGGTACTTATCTTGGCTATTTTTGGGTGTTAGTCTCCTATTTTGCTACTTTATGTTCCCCAGATGAATGCAATCTTTCTATGTCTGCCCCTCTCTTTCTGACTCATTTCGCTTAGCATGATACATAAGGAGTGACTTTTAAACTGAGAAATATGAGCTCATGGTGGTCACGTGCAGAGGACAGGAAGCCTAGAGTGACAGATGAGCACCTGCTAGCCACCTCTGAGATGGTTCGCTCCTACAGTGGCCCCAATTTTTTTTAATTATCATTATTATTAAAGTCTCTCTTTAATAATAATAAATTTTCACCAGTTTTGGGGCCATACCCGGCGGTGTTCAGGGCTTATTCCTGGCCCTGCACTCAGGAATCACTCCTGATGGTGCTCAGGGGACCACATGGGATGTGTCCGGGATCGAACCGAGGTCGACCATATGCAAGGCAAGAGCTCTCCCCACTGTACTCTTTCTCTCTCTGTGTCTCCTTCATTATTCTGATACGTACTACTATGTGAATGAACTTGGAGGACGTTAATACTCAGCGAAATAAGCAGGTCACAAAAGCGTAAATATTGCATGATTCCACTAAAGGAGATACCTGAAATAGTCCATCATAGAAACTGAAAGTAAAATGGTGGTTCCCAGGAGTCTGAAGTGAGAGAAAGAGGAAACTTTTATTTAATAGGGGTCTAAGTTTTATAAGATGAATAGAGTTCTAGATATGGCTTCCCAACACTTTGAGTGTACTTAATACCATTGCACTATCGCTTGTAATCACTTGTCATCCCGTTGTTCATTGATTTGTTCAAGCGGGCACCAGTAACGTCTCCATTCGATCCTGTCGCATGCTAATGTAGCCCAGTGGCATCTGCTCACTCCAGGAACACGAAGAGCACCAAATCGTTTGTTCAGGGTCTTGGTGCAGAAGTCTGACTTCTGGTGGTGATGCGCGGCCAGGTGTTCTTTTGACATCCCGTGGAATCTAGTAACTGCTCTAGTCTGTTTTTTGGTCATCTTTTTTTGAATTTTTGGTCGTCTCCAGATCGTTTTATGTGTGCGGCCCATCTGATTTTCGAAGCCTTGGCAAACAAGGCAGCGTCCCTAATCTTCGATCGTTGACGGAGGTTGGAACTTCGGATTCCTTCTCTCACT